GCTGGGACTACAGGCGCCCGCCACCACGCCCGGCTACTTTTTTGTATTTTTAGTAGAGACAGGGTTTCACCGTGTTAGCCAGGATGGTCTCGATCTCCTGACCTCATGATTCGCCTGCCTCAGCCTCCCAAAGTGTTGGGATTACGGGCGTGAGCCACCACGCCCAGCCTCTGAGGGGTTTCTTAAGGGTGGTGTGTTTCCAGGATGAGTTACAATACCTTTTGTCCCCCAAGCAAAACTACTTTGCATATGTGCCACTCTGGTTCAGCCCACGAGGCTGTAGCAGGGGCTCACACACGATATTTTTGTGGGGAGTCACTGCCATTTGCTTTGATTGAGACTTTTTGGAGGGTTTTGCTGTCAAAATTCTCACTGTGCTAGCACGGTCAGCAAACACCCTCCTCTAGCCTCCTTCCAGGCTTAAACCCAGTGTGGAAAAGTTTAGTCATGTGTTTGATGCAACTGCATCTCGTTTCTGTGGAAACCCAGGCTGCTACATAAACCTAATTCTATATTCCCCTGGCCTAACCCACCTTTCACCAGCAATTTTAAGGGAGATTTTCGCCTTCCCTGGGTATTAGCCTTTGACTTGCAGACACTAGCGTGGCTTTGTGGATTGTGGAATACCTGTACACAAGAACTCATAAAACCACATCCAACACAGCCCTTTCAGAGGCTGTGGTCTCTCCACACGGAGGCCCGCTCAGCCTAGAAGACAAGCTCAGTTGAGTCCTTCTCCAAAGAGGACCAACAGCACCAGGGAAGGGCCGGCCAGCAGCCCTGTGGTGAGAAGCACTCGGCACACTCAAGCTGCAAGGACCGTGTCATGATCCATGGGCAATGCCTGCCACAGACTTGGGGGCAGAGGCTGCAGAGGCACAGGTTCCCCCGAATTAGACCCCATATGTCTACTTCAGAGCAAAGCAGTGTATTCAGTCTGTTATTTACTCGGACTCCTAAAGCAAGATGGTAGCCGAAGTCACTTCTGACCCTCCCAGAGCACAGGACCCTTCTAGAATCAGGTTCCTCGGGGCTTGGGCACTGGTGTCTCATTCCTTTTATTTGGGTCAAGAAATGTGCTTCTCTTGAGCATTTGACACAGACCACGAAGAGTCAGCCCTGATAGGAAATGGGGGCTATTCTGCCTAGAGCACAGGCAGAGCGTGTCTGATTTCCCTTTCCTGAAACTGGGGACGCTGGGAGGACTCATTAGGAATGTTTTCGTTGTTACTGCAAGTGAAGGAATGCTGACTTGAATTAGTTTAAGCAAAGGTTGAGAGTAAATGGCAGTGATACCCCACCAAAAAAATCCTGTGGAATCCCCTGCTACAGCCTCAGGGGCTGGACCAACAAGCACAAATGCAAAGTCGCCTCACCTGGCACAAAAGGTATTGTAAATCATTCTGGACATACATCACCCTTAAGAAACCCTTCAAAAGCACAGGGGTAGTAATTTGGAGTCTTTGAAGCTTAAAGAAATAGTGTCACACTTTTCCGGCCTCCCATTCATTGGAGACTCAATAAAGAAAAACAGAGAGCCTGGCATGGTGGGTGCCTGTAGACCCAGCTACTCAGGAGGCTGGGGCGGGAGGCCCTCTTGAGCCCAGGAGTTTGAACCCAGCCTGGGCAACATAGTGAGACTCAAGAAAGAGGAAGAAAGAAGGAAGGAAGGAAGGAAGGAAGGAAGGAAGGAAGGAAGGAAGGAAGGAAGGAAGGAAGGAAAGAAGGAAGGGAGGAAGGAAGGGAGGAAGGAGGGAGAGAGGGAGGGAAGGGAGGGAAGGAGAGAAGGAAGGAAGGGAAGAAGGAAGGAAGGAAGGAAGGAAGGAAGGAAGGAAGGAAAGAGGGAGGGAGGGAAGGAAGGAAGGAAGGAAAGAAGGAAGGAAGGAAAGAGGGAGGGAGGGAGGGAGGAAAGAAGGAAGGAAGGAGGGAGGGAGGGAGGGAAAGAAAGAAGGAAGGAAGGAAGGAAGGAAGGAAGGAAGGAAGGAAGGAAGGAAGGAAGGAAGGAAGGAAGGAAGAAGTGGGAATGGGGAGAGGAGTTGTGATGTTGCCTCGTGATGGGAGTGGAGATCTCAATGTGCCTCAAGAGAGGGTCAGGATGCAGTCAGGCCTCAGTGACCTCTGTTCTGGCAGGACTCTTCCACCATCTGGAATCTAGTTCGCTCTGTCATTGGCTTCAGACACTCTGTCATTGGCTCTTCTAGATAGCCAACATGTCTCCATCAGCTCCTGAATCTCCAGCTCCCAGTCAGGGGCGCTGACTCCTTCCCTTCATTCCAACTCAGAAGAGTCCAGGGAGGGGTTCTCATTGGCCCGTCTTGGGCAAGGAAGGCCTCTGGACTGACCGCCATGGCCAGCGCTGAAGCTGTCTGGTTGTCCTCACTTGGGTATAGTGCATACAGCTGGATCACATAGCTAGGGCAAGGGGCAGGTTTGAGGACCCGGAGCTGCTTCTGGAGGCCCACCCCTAAGTATAAGGCCCTCTAAGAAAAGAGCAGAGTGACCACTGGTTACCCCTCACGGTGAGCACCACCCCACAAGTCTGGACTGGGCATGGGAAGGGGTGGAGAAACCCTCAGCTTTAGAGTGGGTGAAGGGAGTCAAAACCATCAAAGTCCCAGTGGCCCAAGTAACGGGGATGTGTCCGAAACTCGGAGCCTAAGGCAGGGAGACTCAGACAAAGTAGGGGCAGGAGCAGTAATGATAGCAAAAACAGTGCCATTCACTGAGCATGCATCTGGTGCCAAGCACATAGAAAGCACTTTACACGTGCTGTTTCCAATCCTTGCAGCAGCCCTGCATGGTGGGTGCTATCAGTCCCATTTTGCAGTAAGAAAATTAAGACCTACGAACTTTATGAGACGCTTCTATAGCCTCAGAGCTAATAGATGCCAGAAATGGTGCTTCCATGAGGGACCTGGGAAAGGGATGAAGCAGGATGAAGACAGTTGCTCAGGAGGTCACTTAATGCTCCTGCGACTCCCTGTGGCAACGGGACTCAGCGAGAAAGTGCCTTTTTTGGAGGGATTGTGCAGGGTCTCTGCTGGGGGAGGGAGCTGTAAGAAAACAGCCCAGAGGGAGACTGCGTGCTGGACTGGACCTGGAAAGTCTGGTGAGGACCACAGGTTCTTGGATTGCCTGGGACTGTCGTGATTTCACCTGGTATTTCAACATATGTAATGATGGCACCCCTTTCATTCACAAAAACAGTGGTGGGCTGGTAAATGTATAAAATAGGGTCTCAAATATATATATACACACACATGTGTATATATATATATGCATATACATGTAGTATGTATATACTGTATATATACATACAATGTGTGTGAATATATGTATATGTATGCATATATGCAATATGTATTATTGTATTATGCATATGTGCATATACATATAGTATGTATATACTATATATACACTATATCTACACATACAGTATGTGTGTGTGGTGTATGTATATGCAATGAACTGAATGTTTCTGTCCCCCAAAATTCACATGTTGAAATCCTAACCCCCAAAGTTAGGAGATGAGGCCTTGGGGAGGTGATTAGTCAATGAAGGTGGGGCCTTCAGGAATGGGATTAATGCCCTTATAAAGGAAATCCCAGAGACTCCGTTGCCCTTTCTGCCACGTGAGGACATAGAAAAGATACCGTGTGTGCACCAGGAAACAGGCCCTCATGAGACAGAGAATCTGCTGGTGCCCTGATCCTGGGCTTGATTCCTGGCCTCTAGAACTGTGAGAAACACGTTTCTGTTGTTTCTAGGCCGTGCAGTTTATGGTATTTTGTAATAGCAGCCTAAAGGGACTATGACAATATATACACACATCTATTTGAGATCAAGGCTGTGTAATACAAAATTTACAATCCATAACAAAATCTGTGTTATTCTTTAATGTAAATTTCACATAGCCATCGATTCTCATAGAATAAAATTCTGTGAAAATTTTTGGTTGATTTTTGCTAAAACCTTGTATTCTTAGTCAACCTGTGGTTGTAATTCAACCGTGATTTGTCAAATGGAGACGCACTCCAATCTGCTAATTCTTTTCCCGGTAAGTCTATTGTTGCTAACTCTGATATGTGCACTAACGTTAAACAATTTCTCATCCTCGTGAAAATCATATTCATTAAACAGAAACCTCTTTCAGCTCCAGCGCTACTCACTACAATCATGCTACCTGCACGGAGTTGCAGGAATCAGAGCATCATTTCAGTGTGTATTATTTACTAATGGATGCATTTAATAACTGGCCTCAGAAAATGTAGTGATCGGTTCATTGTACATCACCATGAGCAGCCAGGACAACCACACGGCTGTAAGAGGGTCCTAGTTCTGCCAGTAAACCATTGCCTCACCCTACTTTTAGAAGCTCGAATCCGTTCCCCCTAACTGCAGTGTTGGTGACTGTGACATCGTATTCTTCAGGCACCAGTCGAGGGGTGAGGGGGGAACAGGGGCTATGGTGTGGGAACCTGGTATCCGGTCTGTGACCTGGGCTCTGTGGAACCTGTGCTTGCAGACCCCTAAACTGCTCCTCATGGGTGAACAGACAGGGCCACTGAAGGACAGCATAGGAGGGGCTGCCCCGGGAGCCACGTGGACTGTCTAATGGCTGCAGCCTCTCATCCTCTGAAAGCCAGGGAGAAGACGTTCTTACAACTTCCTGTACTTGGGAAGAATCTGAAGAGTCTGGCTCTACTTATAAAACCAAGTTTATTTCACATTTTTAGAAACCTCATGGTGCAGGGAAAATAATCAGGGAATAGGGGTTTGACTGCTAACTTGAACATTTGAGTGAGTAAGCTATTCAATCTCTAAATTTCCATGTCCAAATTTTGGCTATAAAATGGAAATAACAAGGACACATATACTTAAAGCATGCAATTATGCATTAAGTATCAATCAAGTTTTAGTTCATTAAAAATTGAAATGAGAAAATATGCATGAGAGAATCCTTGAAAAGAACAAATGCAATTTACACTGTTTAAATTTACCAGCGTTCAAAAGTGGTGGCATCCGTCAGGACAATCCACAGAACTGCTGCTGAAATTCCCACCGAAGCAACACCAGAGCAGCAAGAATTGGGTCTTTGTTATGCTTTGAAATTTCCTGTTCGTGATTAAGACAAAGAAAAGATGCAAACACTTGAGGAGGTTAAAAAAAATTCTCCAAAATTTCAGACAAAAAGCTTAATTTTTTCCAAGCTAATTTTTCCAGTTATTTTATTATTATTTTAGGAGGATGAGTAATGTCAACACATACCAGGCACAGTGGCTCATGCCAGCACTTTGGGAGGCCAAGGCAGGCAGTTCACTTGAAGTCAGGAGTTCGAGACCAGCTTGGCCAACATGGTAAAACTACTGAAAATACAAAAATTAGCCAGGCATGGTGGCACATGTCTGTAATCCCAACTACTTGGGAGGCTGAGGGAGATAATCTCTTGAACCCGGAAGGAGGGGGTTGCAATGAGCTGAGATCATGCCACTGCACTCCAGCCTGGGTGACAGAGTGAGACCCTAAATTAAAAAATAAATAAATAAAGTAAATACTACTAATAATATCAATATAAACTGTTTCCATAATGCTAGTCACCTTTACATTCCAAGGTGATTTTTAATTCAACAAATTTTTGTTGAGCACGCCCTTTGTGTCCTCAACAGGCATGGTCCTAGACTCAGGGGATGCCTGACCTTGTAAAGTTCCAAGTAAGTAACTCTTGAAAAACTGTGAATATGTAGATTTTTATGTAAATCAGTACTCAGTGTCAGCATCTAATTTCTGAGTGCTCAGATGTAATAATGCTGTCCTGCAAGCTGTAAAACGAACTGACTGGTGAGGCAATAAGGAAGTGTCCCAGTGTGTGAGAGGAAAGGGCCCAGCCCCGCCTGCGCAGAGCTTCCGCTTGCACGAGTCTGCGTTCAATAACTCAAAGCAACAGGAGAGGCGAGATTCTGAGGAGGATTCTGAAAACACAGTGCATTACACAAAAATGTGAAGCAAAAGATTGCATACATTTGGGTGGATGGTGGGAAGGTGGCGTTTGCTTGCTTGCTTTTATCTTAATTCTCCTTCCAAAATTGAATGTTTTCAGACTTCGCTTGACTACAGCTGCTAACAGAAAACTTAGGAGCAGTTACTTTTTTTTTTTTTGAGATGGAGTCTTGCTCTGTTACCAGGGCTGGAGTGTAGTGGCACCATCTCAGCTCATTGCAGCCTCTGCTTCCCGGGTTCAAGTGATTCTCGTGCCTTGGCCTCCCAAGTAGCTGGGATTACAGGCATGTGCCACCATACCTCGCTAATTTTTGTATTTTTAGTAGAGATGGGGTTTCACCATGTTGGCCAGGCTGGTCTGGAACTCCTGTCCACAAGTGATCTGCCCACCTCAACCTCCCAAAGTGCTGGGATTACAGGCGTGAGCCACCGCGCCCGGCCCAGTTACTTTCTTTAATTAACAACATAATATTGATGGTCCATAACATAGCCGATAAAAGCAAAAAGACACCTTGAAATTCCACAGATCATAGCTCAGTTTGAAACAAATGAAAAACATTTAAATGTAAATTAATTTGGTATGTTTATAATTATTGTCTAAATAGATGAACAAGCCATATTTCAGATATATTTCTAATCAATCAAATGACTACAAGATGTCTCTTACTCACCTACTTTTGGGGAGGTTTTTTTTTCAAGGACAGTAAATCCTCACCTAACATCATGAATAGGTTCTTGGAAACTGCGACTTTCAAAAGTACGAATATAGACAAGATTTATGTACAGGTATGTTCACATCAGTGCTATCCGTTAGAGAAGAAATATTGGTTATAAAATTATGTTTGTCAATAGATTTAAATATTAGGAAGCCATTAAATGTCATATTTTCAAATGGTAATATCTAGGGATTCTACAATATAATGTTTACAAAAATAAACAGGATACAAAACTGTGTTTATAATACAATAAATAGTGTTCTATGCAAGATACATATAATGTATTTATTATATATAGTATTTTATTAATATATAGTATATTATTAATATATATTATAAATACATATACATATATAGAAAAAAAGCTGGAAGGAAATACACTCAAAATACTAACAGTAGTTTTCTCTAGGTGGTGGGATTACTGGGGTTTTTATATTCTTCCATTTGCTTTCCGTTTATCAGTTTTTCCACATGAGCCTGAAGATCTGCCAAAAAGGAAAGAATATGTTGGCCAGGCTGACCCAAGTTTTGCGGTTTCTATGACAATTATACTTCTAATTCTAAAATAATAAACTGACATCATTTTTAACATCTTAGATATTTTAGTGCAATAAGTAATATGTTCATAATGAAAAATTTGGCAAGTACAGAAAAGTCAAAAGAATCAGGGAGAGAGCTGTGCAAATTTCCACCAGTCAGAAGGAAAGCCTGATATTAACATCCCACAGTTGTCTGAGTCAGGGCTTTCTAGCTACACCATGGGGTATGTTTGCCATGGAAGTGCCTCATGAGCTGCCACCAGGGAGGCTGAGGACTGGCTGGGTGGGTCATGCAGTCTGGGTGAGATGTTGCAACAGAAACTGCTCCCCCCACCACCAACCAACTTGAATCAATCCCCTTGTACATAATTAGAGTTTCACGTAACAATTCACCTGAAGAAAGTCTCCATCCATGGCAAAACTAATAAAAGCAACCTTGGTTACCACATCTTAAGCCTCTTCCCTAAAGCTAAGCATTTAGCTTGCTTCCAGTTTTCGTAATCACAGACTGGAAGCCAGAGTGAATGTCTTTGTATAGTCATCTTTGCTTACATTCTGCCTCTGTGATTGAAATTTCAAGAAAAAAGTAACCATCATTTTCAAAGCTCTTGATATTTTCAAACTGCCTACACAAAAATCAACCTGTTTACACCCCATCGACTTGCCCATCTAACCAAACCTTGCATGCATTGAGCATCATTTCAAACAATCTTTAATTTGATAGATTTAAAATGGAGTCCCTCGTTGTGCCTGTCACATTTTAAGGAATGTGTGCCCCTTGAGGATCTCTTCCAAGAAGACTTCCACCAGTACAAGCTGCCATCCCGCCAGCCCCTATGTAGAGGACATGGCACCTCCCCACTAAAATGATGCTGGAGTTCTCCAAGTGGACTTGTGCTTGGGTTTTCTTCTCACTAGGCTCCCAGGCAACCACATGATTGAACTCACAGCAGCCCAGGCTGTGGAATAAGCCCCCAGGAAAAAACGGCAGAAGCCAGGGTCTAACATACCCCCTTCCCAAATACTCTAGAGCTAGCCTCTCAGAACGGGAAGGTGTCCTGGAGAGCAATCACCTTTGAGGCCTTTGGCTGCATAAATAACGGCTTTGAACCCTGGACCGGAAAAAAACTCTAACAGTTAATGATGCAGCCGGGACCCAAACCTGGTTTCCTGGGAGTCTAAACCCGGCGACTTCCCCACTACTGGCCTCCAACCTGCGATGACGTCAAACGCAGCAGAAGCGAGTCCTGACCCATCACCCTTCTGTCTGATCACAGACCCTCCACGTAGGGCCCGTCAACATCATCGATAGCTAATAACAATAAACAAGGCTTCTTGACCGAGGGGGCGAGCGGAGACTGAAATCTACCTGGAAGACAAGGCTACAATATAAAAGCAGAAAGAAAACAAACTGGGAGAGACGCTCCCCAAGCCAGAAGAGCTCTCAGAACTCAATTTTAGAAGTCAGCATGCGAACGGCCACAAGGGGGAGCGCTATTTTCAAAATACAGAAACCACAGTCCTAATCCCGGCGCCCCAGCCGGCTTTCAGCTGAAACGGCTTTAGCTTTAGAACATCAAAGGGCTTGTTGCAAAGATTTGCTCACCAAATCCACTGGCTCCCATTCAGATTTTGTGCCAACCTACAGCCTACAGCTTGTAGTCACTAGGAGCTAAAGCTTTCCATTTTTGTCCCTAGGTTATTGTTTTAAAAGTAAATACGGTACAATGGAGAAATACATACATGTGTGACACATATACACATATGATAATACATAATCTGTATATATGTAACTTAAAACAAAAACAAGTTAAAAAATGTGTGTTATCAGCAACAGAATTTTAAACATATTTTAAACATATACAGTATATATTTAATATATACCATGAAATAGAATATAAAACATTTTAATGTTTTAATATAAAGTTATATATAGTACATATTTAAATATTTTTAAGTATATAAAATATATGTTTATTGTATTTATATATAATTGTTTATATTATATATTTAAAATTCTTTCTCTTGAGTGATAAATCCATGCTTTAAAACTCAAATTATATTTAAAACACCCATTAAATATATTATTTATTATATTTATATGTACAGTAATATACTAAATGTATTTTTATATATAGTAATGATTTAAAGTACTTATTTAAAATTCTCTGTTGCTAAGTGATAAACACATGCTTCGTAACTTCTCTGGTTCTGTTTTATTCATTATAATCCCCCAAAACCCTGAAAGAAACAGAATAACAGTTTTATTGACCCACTCGAGTGATTTAATTTTTATGTTTCACTAGCCCATATCTGTTCACGTATAGCTGAAAATAAAAAAGAAACAGTGGATTAAAATGGAAGGGAAATAGACAATAGCTGTTGTTCCTAGCTTAATTAGGAGAGAAAGCCAGAGTAAAATAAGAGAGTCTATTGCAGCTAAGAGGAAGAAATTCTTTAGTCTCAACCAAATATGTAAATATAACATCTCTCTTCTCATATTCTTAGTGCTAAATCCTAGTATAGAGCTGACTAAGGCAAGGGCGAAGCACATATTTAATGGCCATTATTATGCTACTCTGAGGAAAATTCTCTCAGTGTCTAATATTTTAAAAATTGGGTTTTAATTAGATCTTATCAGCAACCCTAAAATGCAATGTTTCTCACCTCCCAGAAGGAAACAAAACAAAACAAAACAAAACTCACACCATCCCCAAAACGAGGCTTAATGAATAACCACACGGAAACTATGGAAAGATATTTCTTTAACTACATGGCAGATAGAACTAGGTGGGAGGAAAACCTGCCATGGCTTCTCTTAATGGCGTATTTAGGCTTTACTTCAGAAAAGGGAAAGCATCTGAAAAGATGGGAAGAATTTCTCACCACCCTGCAGACAGCTGTCTCCTCCCAGTACCCAGGACCTGAACTCGGAAACTACCAGCAACACACACGTGAGTCATTCTTTGTGCTATGCAGTTACCCTTAGTGCTGTCCACCCCTCGTCCCATCCTTTTTTTAATCTATATTCATTCAGAGACAAGAGTTTAAAAAGCAAGCAAAGAAAAACCACCTGTGCAGAAAGTAGAAGGAATTGCTGGTGGCTCATCGCGTCATAGGAAAAACAGTGCACGTGAGCAAAGCTGTCTCAGTAAGAGAAGAGTAGGAAAGAAACACGCACAGCAGCATGTTAGAAACTGAAGTTTCTTGTGCCCTTCTTGGACTCAGAATACAATACCAGAGAACAATCAGATAAGGCAGGAGAAGTTAGAAGTGTGGGGAAATAGAGCTTCCGTAGGCAACTGTGAGGAATCAGGAACAGGCTGGGAGCCGGCACTGCCCGCCTGTCCTCCACCGAGAGCACTAGGATAGGACTCCACACACGAGGACCAGACCTCGACGATGAGCTCACCCTTGCTCTTAACAAGCACTGGCTCTCTACAGATGTCACTTCCTTTAAGGATGAGTAAATAAGGGAGGAAAAACTATGGGATGGGGTGGGGCCTGGGGGGTAATTTTTTAAAGCTACAGAAAATAGGAAAGAGACTTTATCTCAATGGTTTAGAAGACGTTAGAAGACTCTAAAATAATCTACAGGAGGACCCAAGAGATCTAACACTCTGGAATCCTCTTATAGGATATCAAAAGGTATAACCTATATTAAAGAAACCATAAGGAATAAGTGAAGATGAAAATTACTAATATGTGATGAGCCAATGCTTTTAACAAATATTTATTAAGAACCCATTATGAAGACCTGGCCCAGTGGCTCATGCCTGCAATCCCAGCACTTTAGGAGGCCGAGGCAGGTGGATCACTTGAGGTCAGGAGTTCGAGACCAGCCTGGCCAACATGGTGAAATACTGTCTCTACTAAAAATATAAAAATTAGCTAGACACGGTGGTGCATGCCTGTAATCGTAGCTACTTGGGAGGCTGAGGCACAAGAATCACTTGAACCCGGGAGTTGGAGCTTGCAGTGAGCCGAGATCACACCAGTGCAGTCCAGCCTGGGCGACAGAGCAAGACGCCATCTCAAAAAAAAAAAAAAAGGAGAAGCCATTATGAGGCACTGGGCTGGGGTGGAGAATCCAGAGACGGGCAGAATGGACAAGATGCCACCTTTGAGGCAGCTTACGCTTTGGTGAGGTTCACAGATGATTCACTAATAAATAAATAATTTGTAATGAGAATTGCTATTAAGGAATCAGTTGGGGGCAGGTAGTACCTACTTAGATAAAATAGGCAGGAAAGGCTTCTGTAGTATGTCATCTGAGCACAATATGGAAAGCAAGTAATGCATATTCCCGGCAGAGGAAGCAAATTGCTTTAAGGTGAGAAAGAGCTGCGCATGCCTGAAGAACTGAAAAAAGACCCATGTGCCTGGTAAATGGCGCAGCTGAATTTGGAGACATAGGCAGTGTCAGCTCATGCAGAAGCTTCACAGCTGGGAAAAGTGCTTTGAATTCTTAGTACAAAAGAAAGCCAATGTGAGTGTGAGTGTGTGTGTATTCAGTATGTATATGTGTGTGTGTGTATGCACATGTATACATCTGTACACACACACACATACATACAATTGACCCTTGAACAGGTGCCAACCCCCACCCAACAGATGAAAATTCACCCATAAGTTTTGACTTTCCTAAATGTAACTCTTGTTGACCGAAAGCCTCAAGTACTATTGAGCCTCCTGTTGACTGAAAGTCTTACTGATAACATAAACAGTTGATTAACTCATAGTTTGTGTGTTATATGCATTATATACTGTATTCTTACAATAAAGTAAGCCAGAGAAAAGAAAATGTTATGGAGAAAATTTAAGGAGGAGGAGGAGGAGGAGGGCTGGGTCTTGGGATCTCAGGGGTGGTAGAGGCAGAAGAATATCCATGTGTAAGTGGACCTGAATAGTTCAAACCCATGTTGTTTGAGGGTCAACTGTGCATACACATGTTTAAATGTCTGCATAGACATCAATAACTCCAACTACTGCATAGAGAACAGACTAGGAGGAGCAATGGGGGGCGGGGCGCAAAGAAGGGTGAGATGGTGGCCCCGTGAACTGAAGTGATGGCAGTAAAGATGGAGACAAAAATAACCTTGAGAGAAATATTCTGGAGGTTGAAGCAACCGCAGCCATGGATGGACGAGAGGAAGGCATAAGGGGCAGCAAGACATAGGGTGTGATTTGGGTTTCTGGCTTGAGCAGCACGGCAGAGACTATCAAAGATGGTCAGAGAGGCTCACAACACCATAGCGAAACCGAAACCTCATTACAGGCAGCAAAGGCAGAACTGCAGTCGCAGAAAACAGAACTACGATGCTGAGGGCAAACCAGAGAGTCCCCATCACACAGGGAAACAGGAACAGAGAAGACGGTGGCGAGAAAGAAGATGGCAGAGAATGCAAAGATGCCTTGTGAACCAGATTGGCATTTCTGAAAAAGAAACCAGAGTAACTGAAGAAAAACAACAGTCAGAAATACACATGCAGTTCCCAGAAATGAACACCTGCATCTAATATTGTCCACCCTTTGCCAAGGAAAATTAGAATCTAAAATACGAGTATTTCATCTGGAAATGCTTGAATTTCCTAAATGGATAATCAAAAAACAGTTTTAACGTACTCATAGAGAAAAAAGCAAAGTCAGTGTGGCACTTACCAGGAGACAATGGAACTGTGTCTGTATTTTGAAGCTTAACAAGTATGACTCAGGAATTCTACAGCAAGCCAACCTTGTTACTCATGTGAGCAGGCAACAAAAAGATATTGTCACATCTGCAAGAACTAAGAAAATGTACCATCTACATGTCCTTACCCAACTCTGTCTAACAAGGGGGACTCCAGAACAACGTTATGACATAAAAGGAGTCGGTAAGAATATCTTAGATTTTATTAGAGAAATAAGTCAAAAAATTTTTTAAAAAGACTTTAAGCAAATGAAATGTAAATAATACTTTAAAAAGTTATACAGTGTAAAAGTATAACATACTATTAATAAAAATTGTATCAAAAATCTGGAATAGCTACAAAATTGGAAAAATGGATGAAAAATTTTGACAGTAAGTGAAGATATTTGGTTTGTTTTGCATAACTGCATAATTGCTATGGAGAAAATGAGTGGGGTGATGGTTTGAGAACAGCAGGGGGACCTACTTAAATAAATAAGGTCTGGGAAGGTCTCTCTAAATAACCGCATGTTCCTGACTCTCGCGGGTGGAGCTGAGGTTCTCTGAAAGAAGGATAAAACATTTACACATAGATCCAAAAGTATTTAATTAAGTCCGGTACTGACACAGTTGGGCTGAATCACATACCAATATTGATCTGGGAATTAAAAGCGGGCTATCCCTTCATTCAGCTTTATGTGATACACAGGTAGCCACAGAAGATAGAGCAGGCAGCTCCTACGTCTCATAGTAAGATAGGGGAACGTTTAGGGACTATTTACAAAACTGTTAGCATATAACTCAGTTAAGTCGATACTTATTCTGTATCTTGTTGTCATAAAGCCGAACAAAATACCTGCATACAAAGCAGGGCAAAGAGCTTTCCTATATGTTGAAAAGTTTGTTTTCATAATTTCAAGGGCAGCTGGTCTATAGCCATTACAACAGGAGTACTTATTATAAGAAATTAGATGAGTTAAATTTTTTTTGTTGTAGAACATTGTTTGTTCACCTAAACCTACAAACAATGGTAAGTGCAATATCCACTTAGATCAGGAGTTGGGGAACTTGTTCTATAAAAGGTCAGATAATAAATATTTTTGGCATTGACACTGCCACTGTAGCATGGAAGCAATCATAGGAAATACACCAATGAATGGGCATGTCTGTATTCCCTGTTATTTTCAAAACAGGTGGTAGGCGGGGTTTGGCCAGTGGGCCACAGTTTGCCGACCACTGATTTCGTTGATTCTTCCAAACCAGTCCCCTCAGTTTGTGGAATTTATTTCTCTAGTGATCACGCCCCCTTCCCTGCCTTGGCCACTCTCACGCTCATATCCTGAGCTGTGATCGAACCATTATCAATAACTGCCACCCCCGACGACCTCAGTTATATCTGTCCACTCTGGAGCCTCCACTTATAATCTTTTTCATTCACTCCCTCTAGAACCCAGACTCACATAGTCCTTTGACCCTGTGAGGTCCTTCAATCCACAGCTCCTGCCATTTCTGCCTGATGCCCTCTGTCCTCTGTCCTCTCCCACAGCTCTTAACCCCATGGGAATTCACTGTAACCTCACCCCCCACCCATACACCATCAACTCCCTTGCCCCCTGGCTTTGTCACACTCTAGGCAAAACCACAACCCTCACTAAAGCCAACTCTCCACATACCCTGCAGTTGAATGGCCCTGGAGGAAATCCCTAAGCCCTGTTGGCAGGCCTCTCCTTAATTCATCATCATAAATCTCAGATGGGCACTTTTTGTACCCCTTCCCTAATCCAGTCACTCTCCCACTCTGATTTCACCCCGTCTCTCTTTACAAACCACCAGCATCTCCACCAGCACAAAGCCCAGCCCCTGACAAGGCTTATCATTTCACCATAAATTAGAAACTATCAGAATAAAACTTCCACAAATGCTGGCTGATCAGCCTTAACCATACCTCCTTCCCTGAACACACACCTGCTGAAGGCTGCTGCTTCACTTGTGTGCTAAGTCCATGGCCTCTTACCTACTTAGGGACACCACTCCAGCAGTTCCTACATGCTCTCCAGGGTCTCTGCTGAGTTGTTATTATTATGAATATTCAAACAGCTACTATTTCTCCTATCTATCTAATCCATCCATTGCATCCATCAACCTACCTATCTATCCATCCACCAATTTTTCCATCTATCCATATAGATATCCCTCTATTCACCTGCCTGTCTATCCATCCATCCATCTATCCATACATCCATTTATCCATTCATCTGTTTATCCATGTATTCATCCATCTATCTGTCTATCTATCTGTCTATCCATTTATCCATCTATCTCTCCATCTATCCCTCTATCCACCTATCGATCCATCCATCTATTTATCATCTATTTATCCATCCATTTATACATCTATCTTTCCATATATCCCTCTATCCATCCATCTATCCATGCATCCATTTATCCATCTGTCTGCCCATCTATCCATCTATCTTTCCATCTATCCCACTATCCATCTATTTATCCATCTGTTTATCATCTATCTATCAATCTATCGATCTATCAATCTATTCATCCACCAATCCATCTGTTTATCCATCCATCCATCCATCCATCTCTCCATCCATCCATCCATCCATCCATCCATCTCTCTATCCATCCATCCATCTATCTATCCATCCATCCATCCATCTATCTATCTATCCGTCCATCCATCCATCCATCCATCCATCCATCCATCCATCCATCCTTCCATCTGTCCATCTATCTCTCATTCTGTGTGGGAGCAGGGTGCATGGCATAAGATGCTGCTCTTAGGAGGGCAAGCAGGTGAGGTAGAGTGCATTGTCTTCATCCAGTGGACAGAACCAGGGCAGGGGGATCAAAACTACAGCATAGCCACAAAGCAGGAGGTTGGCCTGAAAACTACCCCAGTCCCATTCTTCTAACTTTCCAAGCAGGTTCTGAAAGGACATGAAGTCCAATCGATGTCAACTAAATTTACTTTAAAAGGCAAAAAACTTAGTCTGGTTTACCACCGCCTGCAGCCCGTGCCTGAGCCCAAGTCAGCCTGGAAGGAGAATTTAGATGCTTGTAAGAGATGCCCATGCTTTGTAAGCTCATCCACATCTAAACTTTTGAATTTTTCTTCCCATTTCCTTCTTACTCTACTGAGCAATCTTCTTAAAAAATTATCAACTGCCTTGGCTGAAATCAGTGGAAAAGGATACTTTTCTTTTTCAATATGTATACTGAAATAGCTCAGATGATGCAAGCCCTTGGTGAGGCCAGGCATGGTGGCTGCTGGATTTGAGAGAATCTGATACGTATCTAGATAGAAAGTAAGGTGAAATGCAGGTGGGAACAAGGGAGGGGCTAGGAGAGGGCACCTGTGACAGCCGCAGCTTGAGTTGAGCTGCTTCCCAAACAGCCTGACTTTCCTATGCTGGAAGGGGAAGGGCCTCTCCGCTGCCCCCAGAATTCTGGGAATGACTTTCCATGCTGGGAGAAATGAGGCGGAAATCCACTCAATGCCCTGTGTATGGCATGGAGAGTGCTCTTGGAGGTCGGGTGGGTACAGCTGGCCCCTGGGAAAATGGCAAAGGGGTAAGTTAACCTTTGTCACACATAATCATTCTCTGCCTGAAACTGTGGCCATCCAGTGCCCACAGGCTCAAGGCTTCCTGCTGACTTGGGCGTCTTCGTGTGGCAGCTCCCCTCCCCAAGGCCTGACCCAGCAACGACTGTGTTCAGACTTTTCTAGGCCCTCAACCCTCTGGCTTCCCTCTTTTTCCACGTACATGACTTGCTTTCTAATCTGCAACCATATTTTGATAAATGCATCACAGGGTCAAATGAAATCCCCATCACCCTTTATGTAAAATGTTTGAATTTTTTGTAGATATTCTCAGTCTTGGAGAGAAAATCAAATTTTGAGAATTTCTGGGTCATTTCCTCAGCACTAAACGTTCACTAGCAGATTTTAGTCAACCCACACAGATGCTTTGGAACTGTCATCTATGAATGTTACAGAAATAACAGAAATGGGCTTTTTGCTTCAGGGGTGGCCATCAAGGCCAGTAACCATGGTAATAATCAGACGCACTAAAGCCACGTGGTGGATTCCTCTGGGCTCTGACCCGGGCGTCTTCATCTCTGGCACTCCCCTCCTACTTTTATGTTTCTTTTATTGTCCTTTTTCCTCCTTCTTTTTATTCCTTCCTGCACTCCATACTCTGGAATTATTTCCAAAGGGCAGGAGCGTATCTGTGTCCACTCGGTCCCCTGAGGCAGGCAGGGGTTTTTCTGCTTCAGGCGCTGTGGTGCCTGCAGTACTAGAACAGTGTCCAGCATACTGCGGGAGCACGTTTGGTGAATGAATGAATGAATCAATCAATCAATGAATCAGTCACTCAATCAATCAATGAGGAGGCTAGCTGCCTGGGTACACAATCACCATCATCACATTTAATACTTGCCAGGGTTATGGGTCAAAACCCATGGGTTCTCCTGGCCTCACAGACGCATCAACAATGGGCAATTTGGTTCTAGAATCTCGTCCCTCCCCAACAAAAAGCATTCACTGGGATGAAATAAGAATGTCCTTTGTGACTCTGCAGTTTCAGCTGCCCTTCACTTCTCAGTCACTGTGAGCCATGACCAGAGTTTTGACTCCTACGAAGCCTCAGAGCTTGATGCGGTTTCCTACCTGGGTTTCCAGAAGCAACTGGGAGGACACTTGTTTTCTAGAGCTCTGTTTCCTCTGGCTCCACACCTATTCAGTCTATAAAAGTTGCTCAGCAGAAACCCCACCATCCCGTCCCTATCTGTGGCTGTCGTAAAGGAGGCTGTTGTGAAGTCTGAGGTAGTCCCGCTCCCCTCCCACCTTCTGTTCCTGAGCTTCACGCCTCCAGGCAGGAGGCAGCCCAGACACCAAGACAGCGCTTGAGATCAGGTCTCCAGACATTCCCTGAACACCACTTGTGCACAGGCTCTTCTTTCTTTCTCTTTTTTTTTTTTTTTTTTTTTTTTTTTTTTTTTTTTTTTTGAGGCAAGGTCGTTCTCTGTTGCCCAGGCTGGAGTGCAGTGGTGCAATCTATCTCAGCTCACTACAGCCTTGACCTCCAGGCTCAAGCACTCCTCCTACCTCAGCCTCCTAAGTACCTGGCACTACAGGAGCGCACCACTATGCCTGGCTAACTTTTGGATTGTTTGCAGAGATGCAGTTTCACCATGTCGACCAGGCTAATCTCGAGCTCCTGGGCTCAAGAGATCAGTCTGCCTCCGCCTCCCAAAATGCTGGCATTAGAGGCATGAGCCACCCTGCCAACCCAGCAAGCTCCTGCAGCAGAAGGATGAATGCCCCAAGGGGACACTTGGCCTGGTGATTGGCCAGATACTCCACCAAGCACTTTTCATGAGTTTTCTCATTTAACCCTCGAAAGAACCCTCTGAGGAGTAACTGTTCTTAGCCCATTTCACAGATGAGGGAGCCGATGCTTAGACAGGTTAAATGACTTGCCCCACGCCACAGAATTACTCAGCAGGGGAGGCAAAATGTGAACTCAAAGCTGACACTAAGCTGTGTTCTCTTAACATTCACAGGAACCCGGGTGAGGCGACAAGAGCTGAGCTCAGGTTCTCGGCCTCAACACTCTTGCGGGGAGGCGCCAGCATGGGCACCCTCCACAGTTCGGGCCCCTCACTCACAAACCTGGCACATCAAAACAGGCTGGCAAAAAGGTTGGTTTTTTGCTTTTGTACTTTTTGTTATAAGCTTGTGGTGAAGTGTCCATATTTGGCATAAACGAATGTGAGTGGTCTTGGGAATCTAAATATAACATGTTTCTAAGTTACACACAACATAAATGAGTGTTTATGAGTGGTCGTGGCAATCTAAATAAAATACGTTTCCAAATTACAAACCAACTTATAGGGGGCATTTTGGTCTTTAACGTGTTTATTAAATCAGACACTGCCTGAACTTTCCTCCGAAGGAAGAGGAGAGGAATGAGCATTTACTGAATGCTAATTAGGTGCTACTCACGTTACTGGAGCGCTTCTCTCTGATCCACCAGTCTCAGGGGAAGGGCCCTGTCCTCATTTTGCAAGCAAGGAAATGGAGGCTCAGAGGAAAGAGTTTACCCTCCCCCTGGGAGCGGCAGAACCAAGAGCCAGCCCCACCTCCACCCCAAAGCCTGGATGTGGCTGTGGCTCCTGAGTGGGCCGCCCCTGTTCCCTTCTGGGCATACTAGTTAGGGGCTGAAATCTGGGATCACCCTCCTGAGCTCTACCCCAAGGACACTGAATCGTGTGCTCAGGCTCCCAGCTCAGCACAGCCCTGTCAGCTCTGTGTGTTTAGTGGCCTGGCCCCAGAATCAAAGCTACTGTTGAAGACACTCAGTATGAAGGAGACCACCTCAGGCTCAACCCTGGCCTACGAAGACTTGGACAAACACTAGCATGGCTTCTCACAGCTCAGGGCCGCATCCCTAGGTGGCCCCAGCCCCCTTAGGTGCCTCCCAAGGACACCCAAGGCTGCCAAAGAAGTTTGCCATTTGCTCCAGCCAACACCTGGAGATCGGGCCCTGTGCGCCATTCTGTGAGGGAGGCTGTTAACAAACCCAGGTGGGTTTCTCATGGACCAAGCCCCCTCTGCTTTTTGTAATTTTCCACTTCCCTGACCCCACTGAGCCCTGGTCACCCCCGCCCAATTCTCTCACTTTCCCTTTGAAATGCCCAGTCTCTACTGCACAAATCAAACTGGAGTTCAGTTCGCACTGGGTCTTCTCCCTATTGCAATAGATATTACAGTCTTTCTTTACCACTTAACTAGCACCTGGCTTGGTTTATTTTTGAGACCAACAGCTGGGGCAGGTAGAGCTGCCCCTCAGTGACCGTCCCTCTTATTACTTCACTGTCCACCCCACCCTCGCTGCTGCTCTGCTGCCCACACCTTAACACTGGTCCTCAGAACCACTCGATTTGCCCCAGTTACCCGCGGCCTCCTGACTTCTGCCTCTTCCACAGCCCTTCCTGGATGTCCACTTCTCATTTCCAGGAGGAAAATAGGAGTTGCCTGAGTTGGGCTGAGGCATGAAACAGAAAAGTATTTGGGCCTGTTAAGTGTTCCAGATTGCTGAAATAGTCCATGCAAGCCCCACTCTTTCCTGAGTTTATTAAAGGAAGTGGGGAAAGCTCTGTGCTTTTCAGAGTCTAAGAGCTGGGTGCTGCAGAGAAAGGAGATGTTACTGGGAGCCCCGACCACCACGTCAAAGGTGCTGCTGGGTCCCAGAAGCTTAGGGCAGCTTCTGCAGGGGTCAGTGCCCACCAGTGGAGAAGAGGACTCCAGTCAGGAAGGAAGCAGAGTGGCTGGGTTCTCAGTCATCCTTGCAGGGGAGAAATTCTTCTTCATTTAAGTCTTAGCTGCCCACTTTTCAAAACCACTTCAGGTATCTCCCGTGTACAGGGAGCCAGTTGGGAATTTCCAGATAGCGTTTCCTCTTGAGCTGTGCATGATGCTTGATAGATCTAATGCTTTAAAACTTTTCAGAAAAAGAGTCACGTGTTCAGTTTTGTTATGGCATTATTTTACTTTGTGATGAATGTGTGAATGGCACACCCCAGCAACTGAGCCAAGCTTTTCCCTGTGGATTTGGGCAAGTACTTTGAGTGTCAAGACTAAAAGGTGTTGATATAGTTTGGTTCTGTGTCCCCATCCAAATCTCACCTTGAATCATAATAATCCCCATGTGTCAGGGGTGAGACAACGTGGAGATAATTGAATCATGGGGGCAATTTCCGCCATGCCAATCTCATGATAATGAGTGAGTTCTCACAAGATCTGAAGCTTTTATAAAGGGCTTCCCTCTTCCCAGTACACTCATTCTCTCTTCTACTGCCCTGTGAAGAGGTGCCTTCTGCCATGATTGTAAGTTTCCTGTGACCTCCCCAGCCACGTGGAACTGTGAGTCAATTAAACTTCTTTACATTTTAAATTACCCAGTATCAGGTATTTCTTCATAGCAGTGTGAGAACAGACTTATATAGTAAATTGGTACCAGGAGTGGGGTGCTGCTGTACTGGAACACAAAAATGTAGAAGCAACTTTAGAACTCGGTAAGAGGCAGAGGTTGAAATAGTTTAGAGGGCCCAGAAGAAGACAGGAAGATGTGGGAAAGTTTGGAACTCCCTAGAGACTTGTTGAATGGCTTTGATCAAAATGCTTATAGTGATATGGACATTGAAGTATAGGCTGAGGTGGTCTCATATGGAGATGAGGAACTTGTTGGGAACTGGAATAAAGGTCACTCTTGCTATGCTTTAGCAAAGAGACTGGTGGCATTTTGCCCCTGCCCTAGAGATCTGTGGAACTTTGAACTTGAGAAAGATGATTTAGGATACCTGGCAGAAGAAATTTCTAAGGGACAAAGTGTTCAAGAAAAACAGAGCATAAAAGTTTGGAAATTTTTCAGCCTGATGCTGTGATAGAAAAGAAAAGCCCATTTCCTGGGGAGAAATTCAAGCAGACTGCAGAAATTTGCATACGTAATGAGAAGCTGAATGTTAATTACTGAGACAATGGGGAAAATGTCTCCAGGACATGTTAGAGAACTTCACAGCAGCCCCTCCCATCACAAGCCTGGAGGCCTAGGAGGGGAAAATGGTTTCCTGGGCCTGGCCCAGGGACCTGCTACTCTGTGCAGCCTTGGGACTTGGGGACCTGCATCCCAGCCATTCCAGTTTCAGCTGTGGCTAAAAAGGGACAAGATACAGCTTAGGCCATTGCTTCAAGCCTTGGCAGCTTCCATACGGTGTTGAATCTGCAGGTGCATAGAAGTCAAGAATTGAGGTTTGGGAACCTCCAACTAGATTTCAGAGGATGTATGGAAATGCCTGAATGTCTAGGCAGAAGTCTGCTTCAGGGGTGGAGCCCTCATGGAGAACCTCTGCTGGGCCAGTGTGGAAAGAAAATGTGGAGTTGGAGCCCCCCCACACAGTTCTCAGTGGGACACTGCCTAGTGGGCCACCATCCTTCAGACCCCAGAATGGTGGATCCACCAACAGCTTACACTGTGCTCCTGGAAAAGCCGCAGACTCTCAATGCCAGCCTGTGAAAGCAGGCAGGAGGGGCTGTACCCTGCAAAGCCATGGGGGCAGAGCTGCCAAGACCATGGGAGCCCACCTCTTGCATCAGTGTGCCCTAGATGTGAGACATGGAGCCAAAGGAAATCATTTCAGAGCGTTAAGATTTAATAACTGCCTTGCTGGATTTTGGACTTGCATGGAGCCTGTAACCCCTTTGTTTGGGTCAATTTGGAAGGGGACCATTTACCCAATGCCTGTACTCCCATTGTATCTTAGAAGTAACTAACCTGCCTCTGATTTTACAGGCTGATAGGCAGAAGAGAGTTGCCTTGTCTCAAGTGAAACTTTGGACTTAGACTTTTGGGTTAATACTGGAATGAGTTAAGACTTTGAGGGACTGTTGGGAAAGCATGATTCTGTTTCGAAATGGGAGGGCATGAGATTTGGGAGGGGCCGGGGCAGAATGATATGGTTTGGCTCTGGGTCCCCACCCAAATATCACCTTGAATTATAATAATCCCCATGTGTCAGGGGCAGGACCAGGTGGAGATAATTGAATCATGGGGGTATTTTCCCCCATGCTGTTCTCACCATGAGTGAGTTCTCACAAGATCTGATGGTTTTATAAGGGGCTTTCCCCTTCACTCCAAACTCATTATCTCTCTTGCTGCCTTGTGAAGAGTGCCTACCACCATGGTTGTAAGTTTCCTGAGCTTTCCCACCCATGTGAAACTGTGAGTCAATTAAAACTCTTTTCTTTATAAATTATCCAGTCTTAGGTATTTCTTCATAGCAGCACGAGAATGGACTAATACAAATGTTCATCTGTAAGGTAGTATTATTGGAGTCATGACATCCAAAGTATCTTTAAACTCTAAAACAAAATTTTTTCATTTCACATTTTTATATTTTCCTGGCACTATGCAGGGCAAACAGTTGTAGCATACAAAGTGAATTATAGAAAACCTTACATATGGGTCTTGGGGAATTCTTGCACTTTTTCTCCCACTTTATGACACACTTCCATGTGCCATTATATCTAAAAAATAAAATAAAATAAAACGAACTCCAAAAGCAGACGGCAAAGTCATACCCCATCTCAGCAAAGTTTTATTAAATTCCATTCATTCCAGAAGCTGCTCTTCCAACGTTTTTCATCTTTTTCCTTTCTTCCTTTCCAGTTTTATGACTTTTTTCTTTTCCACCTAAGAAAACCTTCTAGTGTCTCTTTGCCTACACTAAGCTTTTTCATGTCTACAGCTCTTCCCATTACCATTAGAAGGCAAGAGGAAGAGAGGAGGATCTTTGTATACTTGTCTCAGTCATATAGTATATGAATGTATGCCAGGTGTGGTGGCACATGCATGTATTCCCAGATACTCAGGAGGCTAAGGGAGGAAGGTTGGCTTGAGCCCAAGAGTTCTGGGCTGTCGTGTGGTATGCCCATTGGGTGTCTGCACTAAGTTCAGCATCAGTATGGTGACCGTCTGGGAGTGGGGAACCACCAGGTAGCCTAAGGAGGGCTGAACCTGCCCAGGTTAAAACAGAACAGATAAGAATTCTGTGCTGATAAGCAGTGGGATCAAACCTGTAAATAGCCACCACACTCCAGCCTGGGCAGCATAGTGAGACCTTGTCTCTAGAAAAATAAAATA